TTCTAAATTAAATGCAGAAGGATCATCTGTTAAGTTGAATCAGGACTTGGCTCTGTGAAAACTGAACTTAATAAAGATGTAAGCCTTCATAGCACATCACTTGAGTTGGAACCTGATATCAGAGTACTTTTCAATAAAGTGAGGATTTTTCTTTGAGCAAGTTGGATGCATTGTTAATACAAAGATAAACAACTAGAGATTCCATGTCATAAGGTATGATTGGATCGTAAGTGCTCTTTGCTCACTAAATAAATAGAATTTAGTCAAATACATTCTGTTACGTAATGCAGATTGTAATGTAAGTGACAGGTGAAGAACAATTCTTGTGTCCACATTTTTTGCTATGGCATCCTATAGGCAAACTTAGTCCTGTGGCTGTACTTTGTTAGGAGACTTTTTTTTTTAATGCCAGTCCTGAGGCTTGAACTCAGGGCCTGAGTACTACTGTCCCTGAGCTTTTTTGCTCAAGGATAGTGCTCTACCACTTGAGCCACAGCTCCACATATATGGCTTTTTGTTGGTTAACTGAAGATAAGAATCTCACTGACTTTCCTGCCCAGGTTGACTTTGAACCTTAATCCTCTCCTGCTAAGTAGCTAAGATTACAGGCGTAAGTCCCAGGTTCCCAGCTATGAAAACTGTTTTAAAACAGTGTGTAAGTAGATATGCCATGAGTAAAAGCGTGGTATATAATGGGGCTTACCCTTGTGTGCTTCAGTGTTTTGTCAAGAGAAGACTATGTTATAGACAATGAGTATCACGTAGAACAGATCTGGACTAAGCCCAGGCTTGCCAAGTCTCCACTTGCTGAACTCCAATCCCAATCCCGTGTGCAAGCAAGAAATAGAGGTTTATGACTGGATGAGTTTTGAGATGATTTCTATGTAGTATGATTGTGGCAACTTTAATAGATACAGTGGATATAATGTGGCAAAATGCTAACATTTATGACTATATTGTGATATAATTGACTGGTTATAAATCACTGGGGGAAGGGTTTGACATTTTAAGTGCAGAACTCATCTCCTCTTGAGAAATAATAACAACATACCAAAGCAGGAATTTGTATGCACTTTGACTATGTTACTGACAGTTAAACGTTTCTAATTCTTTCCATCCTTGAGATTTATGTTCTAAGAGCTCAGTGGTATAAATCCTGGAGGGGATTAAAAATTCTGAGACTGGCTAGCTGCTGGTAGCTCTTACCTATAATCCTAGCTATTCAGGAGGCTGAGATCAGCAGATAGAGGCTAACAAACAGTCCAGGCAGAAAAAAAATCCATCAGACTCTTATCTCCAATTAATCACCCAGAACACTCCAAAACCTCAAAAGTAGAACTATGACTCAAGTGGTAGAAGACTAGCCTTGAGCAGCAAAAGCCAAGGAAAAGTTGAGGTCTTGAGTTCAAGTCTTAGTACATGCATACACACACAAAATCTGAAATTGTCTGGAATTACCAAATGGTAATAAAAAGGACATTGAGTTTTAACTGGTGTATTGAATTCTCTATGTATATCCCCTACTGTCTGGGCCTAAAGTTAACCATTCCATTATATGACTCCTTTCATGAGCCACAAACAACTCATTATTGTTTAAAACACAGAATTCCAAAATATATTTTTAAAAATAACCTACATAAAACATCCAAGTTAAACATATTAGGTAGAAATTCACTCATTTTATTAATGTTAATATCTTTATAAAGTAACAATAGAAAAAGTAAGATCTTCACATAAAATATCCAAGTTAAACATATTAACCAGTTTTAGTATGGCCTTGTTTGTGATCGTTTGGGTAAATGCCCAAAAGTGCAATTGCTGGGTCATAGGGGAGCTCTATGTGGAGTCTTTTGGGGAACCTCCATACTGCTCTCCAAAATGAACTTTACAACTTTGCTGGGGGGTGGGCAGGATTGGGTGTGGGGAAGGGATAGTAGGGGAAATATGAAGGAGGGTATAACATGCCCGGTAGGAAATGAACTCATTATCTTGCTCATGTAACTGTAATCCCTCTGTACAGTATCTTTACAATAAAAAATATATATTAAAAATTAATCAGAATTATACTCACTTGTTTTATGTTAATAGCTTTATAAAAATCACAACAGAAAAAGTCTTTGAATTATTACTTAATCGAAACCATAACAGAAAATTATCTCAAGTATAAAGTAAATTATCTTTAAATATATTAAGGTTACATGAATCCATTGAAAATGTGACTGTCAATGTCCTCTACTTCTTGATTCATTTGTCAGATTGAAGCCATAGACATACATAGCCATCTCACTACTCACTACTGCTGGGGACCAATGACAAACCAAAATACTAACAGAAGTACTCTGGTTTTGATTTAGTCAATAAGATCATAAAGGTAATGTCTCATCTATTATGAATTGCCTAATGCCTTAGAGTGATTTTTTTTTTTTTTCAGTCTTGGAGCACCTGGGCACTGTCCTTAGCTTCTTTTGCTCAAGATTAGCACTCTACCATTTGAGCCACAGCATCACTTCTAGCTTTTCCTGTTAATTACTGAGGAACCAAACCCAAGGCTTCATACATGCTAGGTAAGCACTCTACCACTAAGCCACATTTCCAGCCTATACAATTTAATTGCTCAGAAGAAAATAGTATATTAATACTGTACCAAAAAATTTAAAAACTAAAGAAAAAGCAGCTTTTCCCTTTAATTTTTGATTTTTCAACTAGAGTACGAGCACTGTTCAGCAATATAGTTCATAAATAATCTTTTGAGGTTCTAAAATCACACACCTTTCAATTTAAGGATATCAACAGCTACATTAACTATAAGATACAGCTCAAATGAAAAATCTCTAAATTATAGGAAAATTATACTCATTTTGTATATAAAATACATTATCATTGAACTAGCCCACAAATGAAAATATATTAGATAACTAGCAGTATAGTTAGCCCAAATAGCCAAATGAGTATCTCAAGAATTTTTTGTTTGTTTTGGCAGTACTGGGGTGACAAACTCAGGGTCTGGTGCTTACTAGTTAAACACTGCCTTTTGAACAACACCCACAGCCCTTCTTGCTTTATTTTTTTAAAACAGTCTCAAATATTAATTAATTGAGGCTGCCTTGGATTGCAATCCTCTTATTTACACTTCCCAACTAGCTGGGATAACGGATGTGCACTACTACACCCCACTTTTTATTGGCTGAGACAAGGTCTTGTAAAGTTTTTGCTCAGGTTGGCCTAGAACTAAGATCTCAATGTTCTCTGCCTCCTGAGAAGCTGGGATTATAGGTGTGAGCTACCACATCTGGCTCAAGAATATTTTTGAAGCCTTTAAAAATTATTGTTATTACAAAGGTGATATAAATGACGTACATAACAGTTATAGTTACATAAGGCAGGTAATGAGCACATTTTTTATTTTTAATATGTATTTTTTATTGTAAAGATCCTATACAGAGGGGTTACTGTTACATGAACAAGGTAATGAGTCCATTTCCTATCCAGTATTGCAACACCCTCCTTTGTTTTTCCCCTACCATCCCTTTCCTCCCCACCTCCCCCTTCTCCACCCCCTCCACCCCCACAAAGCTGTAAAATTCATTTTCAACAGAGTGTCTTGTACCTCTCATTGTTACAATGGGTCATCCTGTATCCTTATTTCAGCATTTTGTTGTTTCCCTTCCCCTCCCCATTTTAGAAAAATGTATATACAAGATGCAGGATACCGGAATCAAATACAGTGACAACAAAGGTTGTACTATGGGGGAAGAACATACAAAGAAACAAAAAAAATCACATAGTACATTATAAGTACATTAAAAAGAACAAGAAAGATAAAATCAAGCTGGGTGCCAATGGCTCACGCCTGTAATCCCAGCTACTCAGGAGGCTGTGATCGCAGTTCAATGCCAGCCCCGGCAGGAAAGTCCGTGAGACTCTTATCTCCAATAAACCACTCAAAAACCAGAAGTGGCACTGTGGCTCAAGCGGTAGAGCGCTTGCCTTGAGCTGAAGAGCACAGGTACAGAGCCCAGAGTTCAAGTCCCACGACTGACAAAAAAAAAAAAAAAAAAAAGAAAGATAAAATCTCTTGTGCCCCTATCTTGAGATTCATTTTGCTTAGCATCAGGTTAAATGGTCATATGTACATAGCTTTTGACCTCTTCTGCTTGTTCTAGACATATACTAGTTATTGCAGATAAGGGAAACCATGAACCTATGTTTCTTTGAGTCTGGCTTACTTCACTTAATAGAATTTTTTCCAAGTCTTCCATTTCCTAACAAATGGGGAGCATGGCCAATAGACACATGAAGAAATGCTCAACTTCTCTAGTCATAAAATAAATGCAAATCAAAACAACATTGAGATTCCACTCCCCCAGTTAGAATGGATATAATCAAGAAATCTAGTAACAACAGATGCTGGAGGGGATGTGGCCAAAAGGGAACCCTACCGCATTGTTGGTGGGAATGTAAATTTGTTCAACCACTTTGGAAAGCAGTATGGAGGTTCCTCAAAAGACTCCACATAGAGCTCCCCTATGACCCAGCAATCCCACTTTTAGGCATTTACCCAAAGGATTACAAATAGGCCATACTAAAACTACCAGTACAACTGTGTTTATTGCACCATTATTTACCATAGCTAAGATATGGAACCAACCAACCCAGATGACCCTCAGTAGATGAATGGATCAAGGAAATGTGATGTGTGTGTGTGTGTGTGTGTGTGGTGTGTGTATATATATGTGGTATATATATATATGTATATATATGTGGTATATATACGTATATATATATATGTGGTATATACATGTATATATATATGTGGTACATATATGTACACACATGTGGTATATATATGTGTATGTATATATGTATATGTATATACATATATACATACACACACAATGGAATTCTATGCCTCCATCAGAAAGAATGAGCACATTTCTTTTTGGACAATAGTTTTTGTCTTACTTTTTAAAAGCAAAGGTTAATATTAAATGTTTACATACCCAATGTTCCAACCACGACATCCCAAGGAGAGCTAATGGGCTGCTGTTCTCCTTCAGCTCCTCCTTCTTTATCTGTACCTTGAATTCCAACACCAGCTACAGTGCTCACTTTCTCAGCATTTAGGTCAATCTACAAAAATTTAATGGATGCACTATATGTTATTTGTTTTCTTTGGTATGTAAAGAATTCCAATAAAACATAAATGTTATTTACAACATAATACTTAATAAAAAAGGTTAACTAATTATAGGGGATTGTTGTTTAAGTGATTACTATCAGTGATTTCCACTTCCCCTCCCATCCATTCCCTATTTTCTATCTTCCCCTGCATATCTACCTGCTGCATACTTCTCTCACGAATGCTACTCACCCTCATGTTACTAGAAAGTATTTTAAAAGAAAAAACATTCTGAAAAAAAAAACATGTTTCTTAAAGTTAAAGGTACATATTTCAGCTATTCTCAGCTAACAACTGATATATGTAGGGCTTAATATGCTATGATTTTGATTATTTTAGAAAAAACTGACTGAAAAATAGCTGAGTTTTCTCAAGATCCCACAAAAAATTCTGAAACAAAACATGTTTCTTAAAATTAAAGGTATATGTTTCAGTTATTCTCAGCTAGCAAGTGAAATATGTAGGACTTAGTATGCTATGATTTTGATTGTTTTAGAAAAAAAACTGACTCAAGAATAACTGAGTAGTTTTCCCAAGATCCCACAGCTAGTAGGTCAAGGGTCTGAGATTTGAACCTAGGCAGTTCCTTGTTAGTATACTGATTCTAATTTACATAATCTGAAAATGGGATGTCCTGCTTTTTAATCTCTGGAGACCCTTTTCTTAATTTATACTGTGAAAAATTTCAAGCACACATACACAAAAAATAATTTTGCAATAGTAAAGTTCTATCAGCATTTTACTTGTTTTATTCAGCTACTGTTTACATTTTATGCATTTTAAAGTAAATCACAAACACCCGTGGAAAACATCATTGTGGCGTGTTGTTTTTGTTTTTCCTTAGACAGCGTCGCATTAAATGGCCAGGCTGATCTCAAAACACCCAGACTTAAGTGATCCTCCCACCTCATCCTCCCTAGTGCTGGGGCTAAGGTATACACCACGATGCCCAGCTTACCATCACATTTAACCTACGATTCCTTCTTAACTTACGACTTTCAATACTTTTTATGTGCTTGTAGTCATCCTTATGTATTCTTTGGAGAAATGTGTTCAAATCTTCGGTCATCTACTGAAGGTTGTCTTTTCATTTTTCAGTTGTAAGAATCTCTATATATCAGATACTAGTCCCTTAATCAATTTGGAAAGAAATGACATCTTACTGTTGAGCCTTTAATGCTAATCCTATTTAGTAGCTACTATTAAATTTTCTGAGCAATAAAGCTTATATTTTAAATACTTCAGAATCTGTGAGGGACTGGTTCCAGAATATCTCTATGGATATTATAATCCAAAGATGTTCAAGACCCTTCTATGAAATGGCATGAAGTAGTTGTAGATAGTCTATGAACATTCTTTTAAATACTTTAAATCATGTTGAGATAACTTAGAATACCCAACACAATGCAAATACTATGTAAACAGTTGTTACGTTTTACTATTTATAGAGAATAATAACAAGAAAAAAATGTGTGTCATCCAGATACAGAACCTGTATATACAGAAGGCAGACTATATACAGAGCGTACCTATATATGAAATTTGTTCTAAATATTTAGGTTTTGTTGCTACCATAGACTAGATTTCTAAGTTTCATTTTTCAAATTATTGCTACTAGTATATAAAAATATCCTCAATCTTCTAATAAGGTGTTTTTTTTTTTTCTCCAACCTTCCTAAACTCATTTCTTTTTTTTTTTTTTTTTTTGCCAGTCATGGTGCCTGAACTCTGGGCCTGGGCGCTGTCCCTCAGCTCTTCAGCTCAAGGCTAGTGCTCTACCACTTGAGCCACAGCACCACTTCCAGCTTTTTCTGCTTATGTGGTGCTGAGGAATTGAACCCAGGGCCTCATGAATGCAAGGCAAGCACTCTACCACTGAGCCACCTTCCCAGCCCTAAACTCATTTCTTAAGAATACTGACTCCCTACAGTTTTCTATATTCATGACATGTCCCTGGAAAATAAAGACAAATATTCCACTCATTATGTAGTATAATTGTTCCCAATTGTGGGGTAAAACCTTCAATATTTTGCATGAAATGGAGCTACATGCTTTGTATGCACGCCCTTTATTAGATTGAAGATATTCACTTCCATTTTAAGCTCCTCTATCACAAATAGGTATTATTCCACATTTTCCCCCATTTGAAACAAATGTATAGTTCTGTCCTTTATTCTGTTACTACATTAAAATACTTTCTTTTAGTGATACCTTTTTACATTATTTCTTTAGTACTACAAGCTCCTGAGATTTAAAAAAAAAAAAAAAAAATCAAGCCGGGCACCGGTGGCTCACGCCTGTAATCCTAGCTATTCAGGAGGCAGAGATCTGAGGATCACAGTTCAAAGCCAGCACAGGCAGGAAAGTCCATGAAACTATTATCACCAATAAACCACCAAAAAACCGGAAGTGGCACTGTAGCTCAAGTGGTAGAGTGCTAGCCTTGAGCTGAAGAGCTGAGGGAAAGCGTTCAGGCCCAGAGTTCAAGGCCCACGACTGACAAAAAAAAAAAAAAAAAATCAATTTGACCTTATTCTTATTGAATCTATTTAGTGTTGATACAATAGGCAGTTTGGGTTGGGCCTTGAAATAGATCTTGATTTAAAAACTGTATCATAAAAAAATAATATGAAAATCACAGACCACATCTTAAAAAAGCACCAGGCTCAAGAGGTGTTACAAGGGAGTTCTAGCAAGTGTTCAAATTCAGTTATTCAGTGAGGCAAATTATTACAAAATACAGAAAAAAAATAAAGCTGATGATTTGATGAGGTTAGCATGACCTTGATTCTAAAACTGCATGGACAGGGTATAATAAATTATAGTCATTTAATTTATTAACATGCATATTAAAAATTACATATAATTTTAGCTAATCAAATCCAGCTTGATGTTCTAAAAATTATTAACTAAAGTTTTTCCTAAGAATAGAATAATAGCTCAACATTAAGAGTCTACTAATATCACATTGACAGATCAAGGGCAAAATATATTACTATTTTAATTTCAATTAATATTTTATTTCCCAAAGTTACAGCAAATATTAAATTTTTAGAGAAAATTTTCATACATTTCCTTTAAGATTATAGTCATGACAAGATATCCCCAACCCATCACTACTGATGCTTAAAGTCAATGGAGGTCCTAGCCAGCAATATAATAAAAGAAGTTTAAAACACAAAAAGAATGTGTTTCTGAAGACAATTCTTTACATAAGAAACAACAATGGCCTTTGGCATAAATGAACAAATGATTCCAAAAATTCATACAGAGTTGCGAGGGATATAGTATAGCCAAAACAATCCTGAAAAAGAAAATAGAAGAGCAAATAGACTTTCTGATTTAAAAATTGAGTAAAAGCTAAAACATTTGAAATCATATGGTACTGGCCTAAGGCCAGACACTGACCAGTGGAACTGACTTGAAAGTCCAGAAATAAACACATACATGCTTTCAACAAGGTTGCCAAGACTCAAGAGAAACAGAATACTCAATTCAATACATAGTTCTGGAATAACTGGATATACACATACAAGGATGAAGTGGATCCTTACCTCACACCCTAGCTGAAAACCAATTTTAAAAGAATGAAAGACTTTTTTAGGGATGAAAAGATTTACTAGAAAGCTTTCAGACGAAAATACATAATAAACCTTTGTGACCTTGAATTTGGCAATGAATTGTTATATATTACATTGAAAGTTAAGCAATTACAGAAAACAGACAAATTCATCATCAAAGTTTAAAACTTTTGTCAACTTTCAAGGGATTAGAATAAGTAAAAAGACAACTTGAGTCGGGTGCTGGTGGCTCATACCTGTAATCCTACCTATTCAAGAGGTTGAGATCAGAGGGTGGTGGTTTGAAGCCATCCCAGACAGAAAAGTCCCAGCAAGACTCTTATCTCCAATTAACCACTCAAAAATGGGAAAGTGGTGCTGTAGTTCAAGTGGCAGAGAGCTAGCTGTGAGCACAAAGAGGGACAGCACCCAGGCCCTGAGTTCAAGCCCCACAACTAACCAAAAAAAAAAAAAAAAAAGACAACTTGACAAATGTAAAAAAAAAAAAAAACCTACAAATGCTCTGATAAAGAACTTCTACTGAGAGGGGGGAGGCTGGGAAGGGAGGTGAAGGATAAACAAAGGAGGAGGCTGCAATGCTTGGTAAGAAATGTATGCATTATCCTGCCCATGTAATTGTAACCCCTCTGTACAGTATGTTCTCAAATAAAATAAAATAAAATTTAAAAAAAAAAAAAGAAATGTACTATCTTGCCAAAAAAAATAAAAGAACTTCTACTGAGAATATATAAGGAATTCTTGCAACTCGGCTGTTAAAAAGATCAATAACTCAAAAAACAAGTGAAGAATCAATAAATCATTCTCAAAAGAAGAAATACAAATGGTAATTCTTGACATTTTTAGTCATCACAGAAATGCATCAAATTCACAGTGAAATGTCAGTTTATATCCAGTAGAAAAGGAAATAACAAGTGATGATGAGTAGAAAAATTGGAACTACATACAATATAGAACGTTTATGAGCAATATAATATAGAACAACTCAGGAATCCTGAGTTGTACTAAAATGTATGAGAATAAAAATGCAGCCTCATGGTCAATATTCCAAAGCCCATTAAGTTCCAAAGCAGGAGAACTAAAGATGACAAGCACATTCAAGGGAACACTGAAGGCTAGCAGCTATCTTATTACCTTAATACATGGTTAAAAGTCTGTAACATTCTGATGCATTACAAAAGTAACTCCCAAAAGAAATGATAAAGAAATACTGCTTTTTAAAAGCTTAATAATAACAATAAAAATAACTTTCAGTAAAGGAAACCTTAGTCCAATGAAAATCAATGCTAAGTAAGTCCCTACACCACTAATATTCAACAATCTGTGAGTCAAAGACTTTTTAAAAAACACATGTATATAATACCTGTTTTTACCAGTAGGAATATATGTTTCATTAGATATTTGTTTATCAATTCATTTAACAAATATCTACTGAACACCTTCCATAAGCCAGTCTCTATTCTAGGTGTTAGAATTTCAGCAATAAAGAACATTTTTGCCCACCTGGAGATTCATAATGAAGTATATATTATATATTTTATGTATGTATTTGGTACTATATATATATTAGGTGACACCGTTAAAATGAGGCTACATGTCAACATTGAAAGAAACAAAAAAGCAAGGAAGTATTTGAAATAACATATTTATTCTACAGGATGGATTAGAGGAACTTGGTTATTTATTTTCCCTATAACATCTTAAAGAAAAATGGATTATAGACAAAATTACTACTGGCAGAGAATGTTTAAAATAACAATAAAATATGACTATCATGTCATTTATGTGGTTAATATAGAATTAAAAGAAAGCCTGCAAAAAACACTATATGCATATACATATTCAAATGGAATTGGTGGCTAGGGAAAATTTTTACCTTTATGTATGAATTGGTATTTTTTAAACAAGAAAATACACAACTTTTAACAAAATGACATTAATTTTATATTAGTTAATTGACTTGTAATATTTCCAGCCAAAGCATAAGAATTGAAGGGAGGTAGAAATACACCATTTTTTTCCCCATATTTGAGAAAATTTAACAGGAAAGGACAAAGGATCACACTGTTAACTAGTGACTAGGATAATGAGTCCGCTCAGAATGAGCAGACTGCGGTATTAGTCATATGACTTTAAGACAAAGGATAAAAGAGAACTCAATAGGTTTTACTTCTGTGGCAACTACATACTCACAGAACAAACAAACAAACAAGATACGTAAGAATTAAAATTAAAGCAAGTTCCTCTGGAAAAAAATCTGAAAAAGACACTTTGACATTCTTAAACATGGCCATTTAATTTCTAACATTTAAAGTAGTACATAATTATCAGGGTGTTTTTTTTGACTGATATATTAAAACTTTATCTTAAAATGAAAAATTACCTTTCTTTTTTTTTAAATTACCTTTCTTATAAGGTGGTTTTCAGTGTCTGCCACATATATAATGTTATCCACCATTGCTACACCCTGTGGAGAGTTAAAAGATGATTCTGAAAATATCCCATCTTTTCTTCCAGGATTAGGTCCTAAAAGACAAGATAGCCATGAGACATTTTTCCTTAAAGTGAGTGCAAAGTAAACCCTTCCAAAGCAAAAATAAATCTATATTTAATGCTGAGACTTTTTTTAAAGTAAATAACATGCTATTGCTTGCTCGTTACTAATCATTAAAATACTTCCCCAAATACCTATTTTTCTCAAGAGCAAGTTGTACTAACGACAAAGCTTACAGTACAATAGTTACTAGAGTGTTTCACTAGCACTTATCAGAAGCAAACAATTTTAAAAGTACTTTAAATACTTCTTACATAAACTAGAAATTTAAAAATAATTTCAATCTTATATAGTATCTATATGCAATAATTTTTTAAATGATTTTGAAAGACAGGCTCCTTTGAGTAAGAAAAAAAAAGGAATTATATACTTTTTCCCTAGAAAAATACACATACTTAAGAGTGCTGCAAACAATCCTAGCTCTGACAAACATCCAAGCATTTCTTGAGTCAGGAAGCCCAGGCTAGGCTGAGGATGCAGCTCAGCGGTAGAGGCTTGCCTGGCATGTCCAAGGCCTGTGTTTGGTCCTCAGCACTACTCCCCCACCTACCCCCACAAAAAAAAGAAAAAAGAAAAACAAACAGGTTAAGACTCCTTCCTACCTATTAATTCACCTTGTCATACAGTCCAACAATATCTCATACACACTTTAAGAAAGATAAAGAGTAATTCTGGTCTAAATGGTAACCTATATCTCCCTTCTTGCCTTGGCTGTAGTTCAGTCATACAGAGTGTACATTAAAGTGCCTTCCAAGCAAGCATAAAGGAAAAAGAAATTAAAATCCATACACACACATATTTCATAAGACAGTAACTATGACAACCTTTTAGGAAACAAGATGGGACATACTGATACATTTTAAAACTATATTACTTAATCATTCCCTCCTTTTGAGATGGAGCTTTGTGAGTATTTTTGTTGTAAAAAGTTCAGATACTACATATTAATTAACAAAATAATTCTGTAATAAAGTTACAAGCCGAGGCAAGTCAACTCTCTATATTTACCTCAACTACTACTTTTACACTGCAAAACATGTCACAGAACAATTAGCAAACATTACCTCCAATACTGTGTTGAATTTGGCCATTCTTCCAAACGACCAAAATTCTGTGATGTCCAGTATCTGCTATGACCAGTCTATTGGATGCACCATCCACTGCTACTTTGCCAGGAAACAGCAATGGTGATGGTGGCAAAGTGTCTTTGTAGAGTCTTATTCCAATCTTCTTATCTCTGATCTGCCCCCTGTCTTTGTAATACTTTAGAGCTATTGAAGTATATAAAAACAATTTATCTTTGTGTCCCTCTCCAATCAAAGAAAACAACATGTTTCCACGGGGTCCAAGAATGACCAGAGTTGGCCAGCAGGAAACTTCCAGTTCTTGCCAAAGGCTGGCATCTGCATCATTAACCACAGGGTGTGTAATATTGTATCGGAGAACAGCACTCTTAATGTTTTCCAGGACTTTTTCATTTGGAAACTTAGCTGAGTGGACACCAACAACCAGAAGACCATCTGAAAGGGGAAGAACGTATGTTAAATACTATAAAATACTAAATACCATTATCTATGCATTAAATTTTGGGTCATTAATAAAATCCATAGATTGAAAAATAGAACTACGTTGGTATCTTTAACTGCATTAAAATACACATATAAGTAACTTAAAAAATTTATACTGAATAAAAATTTTGGTTTCTATATAAAAATATATGATCAAATCCATATACTATTGCAGGATTATAACTATTATGCCTTTTAGATAAATAAAGCTATTTAAAAAATATAATCTATGGGCTGTGAATATATCTTGTGGTTCAAGTCTGACTAGGACATGCAAGGCCCTGGGTCTGATCCATAGCACCAGCCAAAATAACCATAATAATAATAATAATAATAAAGTCTGTTGTTTATTTTGGTGATACTGAGGTTTGAACTCAGGGTTCTGAGGTTGTTAGCAGGTCTTCTACCACTTGAGCCACATATGCAGCCCTTAAAGTCTACTGTCTAATGAAAATGTTTCATTTTTTTCAACTTTCAATAAATCACTTAGAAATTCAGAATGACTATGACTACATTTTCTTTTTGAGTATTTATTACCATAGTATTCTCTTAAATTTTCTGACCTAACTTTCATCAGAGATTAACAAAATGATTATAATCTGTGTTCCCATAAATTCTTCAATTTATTTAAAATTCCCATCATACAGTTCTTAGAACAAACTTGTGAATAGAACTGCCAAAAATTTAAAAAAATTATTTCTTTTACCTAATCAATACCTTATTTCAAGAAGTTAGCTGGGTATGGTAGCCAATGTTTCTAATTCCAGCTACTCAGGAGGTAGAGATCAGGAGAATTACAGTTTGAGGTCCACCCAAACAAATAGTAATACCTCTATCTCAATAGACAAGCTGGAACTGGTGGTATATTCCCATTATCCCAGCTATGAAGAAGGCATAAGTAGAAGGATTACAGTTCAAGAGCTATAGTTTTAGTAGTAGAGAGCCTACCTAATCAAGTGGAAGGGTCTCGGTTCATATCCCAAACTACTTAAAAAATGGAGAAGTGGTTGGCTGGGTTTGAATGAAAAGCTCAATACTACTACCAAGGTAGAAGTAATAAATTCAAACATACCTATAAATATACCTATCAAACTACTCAATCAGCATGAAGATCAAGTAAAACCACACAATTTCTTCAAACCAAAACAAAGGCACACACATGATTGTTTGAGGGTTTAGTGCACAAAAGTGGGTAAATTATAGTGGGGTCAAACTGAGAAAATCCTACTATATGATTGTAGGGTTCTAGCTGACCCTCTAATGCCCCTAGTTATGTCCTACTGTCATGCAGATGGCTAAGATTTCATCTGCACTGCTAGCCCAAAGAGCCAGGGAAGCTGGAGAGTATGGAAAAAGCCATTCTCCACTTAGGAGTTCAAATACTCTCCAGGCTTACTAGCTCTAAACACCTCTAAACACCACACATGAGACAAAACCAAAAATATGTAGCAAATGCTTAGACAACTGGGAACTGAATTACTGAGTTAACAGGAGAGACAGATAATGGAAGATGAGTAGAACTTACCAAATGAATGACTACTGAAATAAAACTATCAATATTCTCGACTGGACTGTAACAGAACCCCAAGTCTATATACAGAACATTTCAATGTTCAGTAAACAAATCAAAACTATCTGACACTTATAGAGCAAGGTAATGTAACTTATTATCAAAGAAAAAAAAAAAACAACACAACACCATAATCAAAAGACATCTGACAAAACCCAGAACATATTTTATTTGGCAAAGACTACAGCAATTATAACTGTGCTCCATAATAAAGGAAAATATATATGAAATGAATGAAAAGACAGGAAACATAAACAGAAGAATAGTGACCACTAAAAAAAATTTAAAACCTTAAAACTGAAAATAAACATTTGAAATAAATTCACTGAATGAGCTCAATGGCAAAAAGGCACAGAGATCAAAGAGCCCTTCAGGTAGTGCAGGAGAAATGACCCAAGCTAAAGAACACACAAAAAGGAGACCGAATGAAATGAATACATCAGTCATCTGTGGAATAGTCTAGACAGCTACAGTGTAAATGCAATACCAGAAGGATAAGAGAAAGAAACTGAAGCAGAATAATGCCTAAATTTCCAAAATTTGGTTAATGATTTAAAATCAGAGAATTCAGGGTCAACATATGGCAAATAAAACCAAAATTTCAAAACATGTCTAGACACACCATAATCCAACTGCTTAAAACTGAAGATTAAGCACAACAAAGACAGAGAAAAAGATTCCGAGTGTGGCTGCCTGAGGACTGGAGGGGTGTGGTGGGAAGGAGTGGTGGTAAACTTGTTGTAAAGGATATTCCTTAACCTCTCTCATGTTTTCTCATCTGTGAAATGAGAGAAATGTCAGTGACTGCCTCCTAGGTCAGGCAGACTAAAAAATTCACATAAGGCATTTATAATAGTGCCTATGTGTGTAGAAATACCTCAACCATTTGGCCATTACCATTTTTTAAAGCTGTTAAGTACAAAGATAACCAAGTAAGAATACAAATGTCTATAAATGCTAAAACAGTATAATAGAGTAACCAAAGAAATCCCATACTGAGAACCAGAACAAATGTAACAATATACATAATATTCAGATGGTTATACACAAATTCAGATGAATACATATGAATAGGCTGGCTCATCCATTAAACAAAAAATTATTTGGACAAACTATGTAAGACATTCGTCTAAACAAGAAAATCTAAAAGGCTAAAGATAAAGAAGTAGGTAGCAAATGAGCTCAAGGAAACACAAGCACTGCAGGTACTTCAGTTCCTCCCTCAGCTTCTCTAGCGCCTAAGCCAGGTGAGTGTCTAGGTCCACAATAAATGCACCAGCTTGTGATCTCATTAAGCAAGCAGAGCCCTACATAGGCTCCAATTCATGTTCTATTTGGTCTTTGCCTTCTTCCTTTCTTCATATATCTTCTTTAACTACCTTAACTTGTCATCTGCAATCTGAGCTCCTGGTCCCAGAAGCTACAGCTCCATACTTACCTACAATTATTCTCCTACTATTTCTCAGTACTCCTAGTTTTGCTTCTCAGATCAAATCAGGACTAATACACAAACTACCACATCTTCATCTGGGTCTTAGTCGTGACTTATATATATAAAATCTTCAACTCTCATGGGTTTTTTCCTAGCTACCCCATATTGGATGAAGCTCTCCTAACCAGAAAAGGCACATGTGACAGTATTTTCTGAGTTCTTGGATAAACTGTTTTTTATAGGCATTAATGGACAAATGATTGGCTGTGATAGTCCTGATTTGCACATCTTTAGACTCCTGAAATGCTGCCTGGCCTTATGTTATTTGTGAAGTCTAGTTTATGTCTGTTTGGAGGTCTCAAAGTCTTTTTTTTTTTCCCCAGTCTTTGAAGTCTAACAGTTTTATTTGGGCTAATTTTCCCTGATACTCAACATGCCCTTTCAACATGTAGATTCAAATTGTTCTCATTTCTACCACTTTTTTTTTGCAGGTGGCCGGGGAGGTGGATTTTAATTACAGATATTAGTTTTGGTTGGTTGTTCTGATTTTCTTGAGGTATCCAAGTAGTCTTATGTTGGCCCTCTTTTGCCTGTCTGCCAGTGTAATCATTTTCTCCCTACACTTTTTAAACTTCTTTGTTTACTCAGTTTCAGTCTCAAGGTTTTCCTCTCTGCTTTGTTTCAACTGCCCTTACCACGTTCCATATGAGTTTATTGTCCCCTGAGCATTTTGTAATTCAGTTTTTGCTAATAAAATTTTGAACTTGTTTTTCTTCCTGGAGTTCAAACAACACAAACATTTTTCCTTTTCCTTTTTTTCCTCCTTTTTAATCTATTTCTTAGTTATACATTCCTGATTCAAGTCAATTTTCATTATTCCTAAATGCTGTTTGTAGACATTGAATCCAGTAAGGAGCACTGTGTTACATCATGTTCTTTGGTCAATTTTGTCACTTTTTAAATGAGTTTTTTTTAATTCAAATTTTATTGTAAAGATGGTGTACAGAGGGGTTGTTACAGTTAATAAATCAGGTAATGAGTACATTTCTTTTTAACAGTGTTACCCCCTCCTTCATTTTCTTTCACTCCTCTCACCCAAGTTGTAAAATTCATTTCCAACATTAATGCCTAGAGAGTATCACTGTTGAATTGGTTAACCCTTTGTCTCATTGTTTCTATGATTCCTCTTCCCTTCTCCAAATAAAATAAAATTATATAAGACAAAGGGCACAAAAAACAACAACAAAACAGTGATATCAGGGAATAACCAAAGGGAAAAGAAATAGCTGCAAACAGTACAACAAAAAAATCTTCATTTTCATTTCTTGAAGTTCATTTTGATAAGTATCATTTTATATGTTCATATACACATAGTTATTGAGTTATTGGGGTCCTGAGAGTTTTCATGTAAGCTTTTTACATGAGCTTTGTCATGGATGGGATCTGCTTTGTTCCTCTTTTATGGGCAGGGTTCCTAGTTTGAGAGCGCCCTCTTCTGACAGTTCTTTTTACCGTGCACCTTCACTTAGGGGTAACATCCTTGAAGCCAGGGGTTGGTAGGTCTTTCTCTTTTGTTTCTGCTGGACCCTCTTCTATTTTATTTACTTCTGTCCCTACAGAGGTCTGGCTCCAAGGAAAACCACATCATGATCGCCCCAAAACAGTGCTTCTCTGAGATTTCTAATTTTAGTCCTTATCCTGCTAATAGTTGGTGCTATGATGTAGTATATCTAAGTCTTTGCAGAGTACTTTGAACTTTGTACTCGAGTTTCTCTTTCTGGGGCAAAGTACTTTGTCCAGTCCTCCAACCATTCTTCTTTCTTCATGGAGCCTGTGAAGCTTTCTGTTCCTATTTTCAGCACCCACAGACTTGATGTAGCAAGTCTTTTAATTGGAAGGATTTTTTTTCCAATCACATGTGATATAAAGGCCATGTACTATTCTGTCTCC